ATTTTTTCTCAAAATTTTATTTCGAATATGTTTTTTCTTTATAAAATCATATTTATACAAAAAAAAACATATTTCTCACATAAAAAATCTTATATTTTATATATAAAAACTTTTACTTTTTTTTGTGTACGTAATACATATTTATAAAAATAGATATTTATTAAGTACATAAATATATACGAATTCGTTTTTATAAAAAAAATGTGTACAAACATGTATTTTACAAAAAAAAATGTATACAAACACCTATTTTATTATAAATACATTTGTATGCAAACACATATTTATAAAAAAAATGTAAAAAAAACACCTATTTCATAGTAAATGCATACATTTCTTTTGTAAAAACATATTTATATATATTTTTATAAACATCTATTTTATAATAAATGCATTTGTATTCAAACACGTTTATATATAAAATTTATACAAACACGTATTATATAAAAAAAACTATTCAAACACGTTTTTATAAAATAAATGTATACAAATACAATTATATATAAAAAATATAGATACATACCTATTTGTGTGCATATATATATATATATATATATATTATATATATATATATATATATACACACACACGTTCACTATGAAATATGTGTTTGCATACAAATATATTTATAATAAAATAGATGCTTGCATACATTTATTTTTGTAAAATACATGTTTGTATACATTTTTTTTATAAAAACAGATTTGCATATATTTATGTACTTAATAAATACCTATTTTCATAAATAGGTATTTCGTATACATAAACATTTAAAAAAAAGCTTTTATATAGAAAATATAAGATTTTTTATGTGAAAATATGTTTTTTTTGTATAAATATGATTTTATAAAGAAAAAACATATTCGAAACAAAATTTTGAGAAAAAAAGTTGTAAAAACAACTAAAGTTAGGATGAATTTATAAAAAAATCTAAAATTTGGGCCAAAATGGTAAATTTTTGACCAAATTTGTAATAAAATTTAAAATCTGTGCAAAAAGTTTAAATTTTGGACCAAATTCATAATAAATTTTGAAATCTGGGTAAAAAATGTAATGTTTGAAAGTTGGATGACTTGTTGACTGGGTGAAATGGTTAAATTGAATACGATAACCGGTTTTGGAGACTTAATTGAATAAAAAAAAGATATAATGACTAAATCGATTATGAGATCACTATGTAAGGACCATATTGCAGTTTTTCTCATATCCAATAGGTTAAATTAGTTATTTGAGTTGTTTTACCATTTACATGTTTTGATGAGTTATTTGAGTTGTTGTCTTGAATGTGTTTAACGAGTTTTTTTAAAAAGAAAATACATAGTTTACTTAACTAGTGTTTCTAATGTGATTTATACAATCATAAGATGATGTTTATTTATAAAAATATCGTAATTGTAATTATGTATATAAAAAACTTACAAAAGTAATTATTCCGATAAAAATATACAAAAGTAACTCTCCAACCCAAGTCAAGCAACAAATACATTACTTTTTCTAAAAATATCTTTCAGCTTTGATACTTTTATCTTTGCGGGATTGTAACCGAAGAATAGGTGACCAAAAAAGTGAAATTATAGCATAAAATGAACTACAAACAGTAAAATACATGTTGGTAACAATATCATGTTAATCTAAATTCAAACGAATGAGTTATAATATCTTGAAGTATTTCAGATATTACACAATATGCAAAAAAACTAAAAAAAAATCTTTTAGCTTTGATACTCCGTCTTCATGCGACTGTAACTCAATAAATATGTAACAAAAAAAAAATTATAGCCTAAAATGAAACACAAACAATAAACTATATGCTGGAAAACTATCATGTTAATACATTTTCAAACAAATGAGTTGTGACATATTAAAATATTTCATAGATTACACAATATGTAGAAAAATTGAAAACCTTTCAATTTTGATACCTCAAAGTCTTTGGGGATTGTAACTCAATGAATATGTAACCAAAAAAGTGAAATTATAGCTTAAAATGAAATACAAACAGTAAACTATATGTAGAAAAGAATATCATGTGATTCTGACTTCAAACAAATGAGTTATTAAATATTAAAAAATCTCATAAATTACACAATATCACACAAAAAGTGAAAAGTTAAGTAAATTTTATTTCTTAAAATTACAGTCCAAAAACTGGGACGAACCTAACCAATAAAAAACCCATAACGAGTGATGCGTAAAACCAAGAACCGATGACCGGTCCTACGACATAAAACCGGTAATTGTCCCGGTCCGGATGCTCACCTCTAAAACACGATATATTCAGGGATATTTGGGATTGCTTATTTGGAATATTTTGTCTTTTTCTTTGATTTTTTATTAGCTTATATAATATGAAAATGAAATTTATAAAAGTAATTGCATTACCTTGTGAAATACCAAAACACAATAATTTTTTTTACTGTTTATCAAATTCTCCTTATACATATAAATAACCAAAATAGACAACGATAAAAAATGGTAAATTAATTTTTGCATTGTTGATTTTAAAACTCATGTGATTGTGATTTTTCAGGTTAAATGGTTGTTTGAGATTTCTTATTTAAAATTTTTTTTTCTTATTTATTGAAGTGTTTATTAGTCTCTTTCGAAAAAAAAATCTCTTTTGAATAAAAAAATGTTTTATGAGTTTATCCGGTATCAAAACAGAGCTTTAGAAAAAAAAAATGTATTAGTTTATGTGGTATCAAAATGAAATAAGTTGATAAATTATTTTTAGTGTTTGACAAACTCTTATTTTATGTGTAATAATAAAACAACTTATCAAAAACTTTTTAAATAAGTCAATAAATAAGTAAGAAACGACTTATCAAATACTTATTATTTAAATCAATAAACGCTTATGAAATCATTTTATTAAAACACTAAAAACTCATTATTATCGGTATCAAACTGAAATAAGTCAATAAACATTTCAAAAGCAATCACAATTTACAAACACCCCTAAAACAATTAAAAATTTTAAAAAAAATTTAAAAAAAAAAAAAAGTAAACTAAAAGCACTTCTAGATAGTTCCGAAGCTTATAAAAAACTTGATATTTAAGCAAATAAAAGCTTTTATTTTGTTTCTTCCAAACTCAAAAATTAGTTATTAGCAATACAAAAGACAATAAACTAATAAGAAGAAATGAAAAAGAAAACGGTTACCACCACCAAAATAGCCTTAATACAGTATAATCTAAAATTTTAACACCTTAAAAGGAATTCCTATTTGAACCAGTTTTATTCTTAGATTATATAATCAACTATCTCAAATAATATATTAAAAAATAAGTTTATATGTTTTTTTAGAAATCTCATCAAACATTAAATTACAATACATTAAAAAAACAAATCAACTTAGGGTCATGATATTTCTGCTTTTATTAATCCACTAAAAAAAATTGTATGTGGACATTTATACCCTTCCTTTTAATATTTAAGAGAGAGAAAGACCAAAGAACTTGAATCGTTATGTTGAACTTCTACATATTCTTGATCTCAATTACATCTCAACGACGAAATCCGAAATCCTTAATTCTTGGAGAAATTGTAGGTTTCTTCTAGAATTGTAAGTCCACGCATACATACATACATCTTTATGTGTTGATGAGGAGTGAGAAATCTAAGAAAAGCGGTGAGTAAAATGTGAAATTATGTTGATTAGATGGGGGGATTGTTGTTATTCTGGGAGTAATGGAAACCATGGCAATGGTGGAGAAGATGAACGACAAGTGCTCTTTCAGTTCAAGGATGCCACTTTTAATCACCCAACCACTCCACCTTCCTTCACTTTTACCTTTGTCGATGCCTTATGATCACTATGAGTTAAATTTCTTTTCTTTCTCTGTTTTCTGGTATAAATTATTTTCTAATATATTTGAATAATAAAATATTTTAATATATTTTTTCCTTTGGTTTGCTAAATTTATGTTCCTAATGTCATCCGTTATACACTAACCACTATAGTGGTGAGTGCCAACTCATCACCACATTCAACCAGTAAAATGTTGGGATACCTACCACTATATCACTCTTATTTTTTGATTATTAAAATAAAAAAATATACATATTTTTAATTAATTAAAATGTAGAGAGAAATAGAAAGAGATAGAGAGACATGGAGAGAGAAAAAAGCTCATTGGATGTGGTGGTTCGTCCTCCCCACCACAATTGACCATGATTTTTCCCACCACTAGCCACCACTAAGGATATGGGATGGTGTTCACAATTGTTGTATGTGGCCATATAGACCATGGATGTTTTTGTTGTAAGAATAACGGTAGCCCTAATTGTCAAGATATATAGACAAACCTTGATCTCAAATCAACCACGATGACTAAACTTTTCCAGTAACTCCAATTCAAGTTTTTCTAAGGTAAATTAACCTCAATATTTACCCAATTATATTCCATGCAGCTTATAACTTTTTACTATATAAGTTCCTATTGTTACACCAATATTAATCTCGACGAGAGTTATTCTGATTTTCATCTTGAACATGAAACTTCGAAGAATAATAGGTAAAATACAACAAATACAGGGTAAATGCCACAAATTATAGAAAAAACTAGACAAAACTGCAAGATTGGTCGCTGTGGTATTCAAAAAACTTTGGATAGGGTCCAAAAAGTTTCCAACTTGCATGGAAGGTCAAAAATCAAGGTTTTTCTGGGTTTTTAGTCCCTGATACACTTGAAAAGACGATTTTGCCCTTTTTATTTCTTTTTTATATATTATTTATTTATTTTGGTATTTAAATAACCAAGAATAAAAAATAAAAAATAAAATCTCACCCAAACCCTCCTCTCTCTCTCTCTCTCTCTCTCTCAAGAAAGTCAAAAAAACTCGTTACTGTCTTTTCCTAACCCTCTCGCCTTTTCTCTCATTGTTCGTCGGCCACATCCCACATGCCTCCATCTTCTTGACTTCTTCCTTACATGATCTGCCCAAACTCTTTCTTTCTTTCTTCTTTCTCACCCTCACCCTCGCCATCAACAACTCTTCACTCGCCCCTTTTCTCTCTCCCTCGCCTGAGAAGCTCACTGTCTAGTCTCTTAACAATGTACTTTCCAATGAGTTTCTGGAGCGAATCTATGGATACTACTGAATTTGAGAAGTTCACAGCCTCACCCCCACGATGCAACCGTAGACGTCCAATGGTTCGATTTCTGGGTGGAGAGCTTTGATTTATTGATTCGATGTTGAAGGTCAAGGGTTGGATGTGGCGATTTAAGTTCATTGGGTTTGATTTCATATTATTGATGGGTCTTGGTCTTGATTTAGTTGCAGTTTTGTAATGGTTTTTGAACATGGATGAAGGTTTCATCATCGATTTCTGCTCCTGCCACTGTATTTGCTTATCATCGTTCATCGGATTTCAAAGGCTCTTGGATCATCTGTTAACCTCATTGTTTTACTACAACAATTCGACTAATCTCGTTCTTTGGCTATTTCTTGGATGATTTATATTGTTGGTGGCATTAGGGTTCATCCTCCACCCTCCTGTTCTTCATCTTAGTTTATGATTTTATCGATTTTTGTGCTTATTTCATTCAATTGGATATCGATAAATGGTCATAAGTATGTTAACGATTCCACGTGTTGAAACGATTTTGGATTATCTTAAGTAGAAGATTATTTTAATATTTTTTGGGTTCGTCGATAGGGCTATGAACAAAATACCTGGGTTTCTATGGTTGTTGCTTAAATGATTATTGATTTCGTACTATCGTCAAGTTATTGATTGCAACTTCATATGGACTGATGATTACTGTCACTTCACGATGAAAAGATGAAAATTGCGATTTAAATTTTTTTAACCGTTTGAGATGCAGATTTGCAAAGCTAAAGTAGAGAGAGAGAGAGAGAGAGAGAGAGAGAGATTTTATTTTTTATTATTTATTTTTGATTATTTAAATGTCAAAATAAATAAAGAAAATAGAAAAAAGAAATGAAAAGGGAAAAATCGACTTTTAAAGTATATAAGGGACCAAAAACCCATAAAAACTTTGATTTTGGACCTTCCATGCAAGTTGGAAACTTTTTGGACCCTATCCAAAAAAAAATTGAATACCACAGGGACCATTCTTACCGTTTTGTCAAAAAAGTAATATGAAGGATTATGAAAATACAAGGAATCAAGACAGCCAAAGAGGTGAACTTCTTCTTGTAGCAAGCAGACGAACAAGCAACAAGCCACATGTACATTTACAGTGGCAGTGACACAAATACTATACCAAGAAGAAAAATAAATTAATTGTACGAAACTTGGAAGTTAAATAGAAGTCGAAACTTGGAAGTTAAATGTAACACCCATAAAATTCAAGCCAATTTAAAACATTTTAACCCATTCAAAAACCATTAAGTTATTACAACTTGTTTTCAAAATAGTTTAAACATCAGAGTCTCCCCAGAAACCAAATCACAAAATCATGAAATCTGAGAGCGGTACGATCACGCCTTTGCCTTGCCACGATCACCTGATGTACCTGAAACAATAAACTGAAAACCGTAAGCTCAAAAGCTTAGTGAGTTCCCCCAAAATACCCGTACACACATAACCATACACATACAGCAATGAACAACATACTATGGGTCCAATCAACCGACAGGTTGGAATACCCCAGGCCCTCAACTGTCGGGTTGGAATACCAACATACTACGAGTCCAATCATCCTCGGGATGGAATACTCTCGGCCCACAACCATCGGGTTGGAATGCCCACACAACTATACAACACAAACTACTATGGGTCCAATCATCCCCGGGATGGAATACCCCATGCCCTCAACCATCAGGTTGGAATGCCCACCTACTATGAGTCCAATCATCCTACCGGGATGGAATACTCCTGGCCCTCAACCATCAGGTTGGAATGCCCACCTACTATACATACAATAACTACTATGGGTCCAATCATCCCTCGGGATGGAATACCCCAGGCCCTCAACCATCAGGTTGGAATGCCCACATACTATGAGTCCAATCATCCTACCGGGATGGAATACTCCTGGCCCTCAACCATCGGGTTGGAATGCCCACATACTAGCAAACATGTGCACCTATCAAATAACCATATAACAGTCTACCGGACAACATACTAGGGCCCTATCATCCTACCGGGATGGAATACCCTCTACTACTGCTCAACACGTGCACATATAACAGGTAATCTCCTACCAACATACAGACAGTCAGACCAACTACAGGTCACTAAGCATAGCCACATCCAATCTACCAGAATACCGATCTAACAGAGCATACCATCATATAGCCATCCTATCTACCAGGATGCCAACTAACATATCACAGCAGTAACTATCTTAAATAACAAATCAAATGGCCGGCCTTGGTGCCTTAGACCCTTGGGTATAGTGAGGGTAACTCACCTTGCAACTGCCGAACCGAACCACGAAAGCACAATCCCGAATCACTGCCCCAACTCCAACACCTATAGCCATCAATGATCCATTGACATAAATATCTAAATTACCAAAATACCCTTGAAGGTCAAACTGGTCAAAGTCAAAGCCCTGGCCAAAGTCAATCTTCCTGATTGACCCTATTCGCCGAGTTAACCCGCTGACTCGCCGAGTTCCCAAACTTCAGAAACTCTTATATCATGACTCGACTCGCCGAGTCACCCCATGACTCGTCGAGTTCAACAATCTCTGAGTCCTATCATGTCCAACTCAATGAGTCACCACTCAACTCACTGACCAGAAGAGGTTGGGGTTTTGCGTACTGACTCGCCGAGTCCAAGAACAGACTCGCCGAGTCCACGGGAATCTTCAACAGACTCGCCGAGTTGTTCCTCCAACTCGTCGAGTCCATGCCTATCTTCAACAAACTCGTCGAGTCCAAGAACAGACTCGCCGAGTCTCTTCAGTCCTTTATTCATACAGAGGCTTTTCGAGTCATGCAGGGGCTCCAAACCGTAGATCCACTCTTCTAGGGCATGACTCTCACGTAAAGTTGCAAACTTTACGTGGAAACAAAGAGCTAAAGGCCCAAATCAATCTAGGGCTAAGGTTTAAGACAAGGATGCTTCACCAACAAACCAAGGGCTGATACTTTGTGAGTTTCTGGACCAAGACAAGTCTAGATCTGAAGTAGCAACCTCAGATCTAGACCCCTAACCCGAAATAGATCCTTAACATGCCAAAATGGCCTCAAATCTCATTCTTGAATAGATATAAATGCAATAGAGTCAAGGTAACAGGTTGTTACCTCCATAATGTGCCCAAGCTGAAGTAGATTCTGGATCTACACCAATTCCTTGATGCTAGCCTCTTGATCTTCAAGCTCCCTTCTCAATATTCCTCCTCCAAAGCTCAAATCTCTTTAACAATGGAAGCTCACACGATTTTAGGGTTTACTGACTCTCAAGAGCAATAAGGAGGCTGAAGGGAGGACATATGGTCCTTTAAATAGGGTGCAACCCTTAAGATTAGGGTTTTCTCTTTTCAGCACCAACTCGTCGATTCCAGCTACCGACTCGGCGAGTTGGTCACTTAACTCGCGACCAGAACCCGCTCCGACTCGACGAGTAAGCATACCTACTCATCGAGTACCTTCTTCAATTTACCCTTAAGTCCTTCAATCATACTTCTAAATTTTGGGATGTTACAACTCTCCCCCACTTAAATTAGGCTTCGTCCTCGAAGCCTGCTACAGTATACGATTCTGAATATCCCTCTTGCACTGCAGACTCCGACTTCCCAATCAACTCAGGCCCTTCCAGACCCTACCACTGTACCCCTTTTAAAATAACTTCTTCTCGTGTGGTATCCTTGCCAATACTCCCGGCCGACCACCGGCCTTTTCTACTTAATGTCAGAACACATCAATCCAGTATCACCCGATGATACTGCCACCTTCCTGACATGAACACACCTTCGAGACTTGCGAAAGTTAGACACCACAATAATCCACTGAGCTCTGCTATAACACGAATCCACCTTTCCTTCGCCCAAAATTGGTGATAACCCGGATAACCTGCGATAGGGAACGAATCCTGTTCCCACCCTGAATCTATTCCCTTTTTACCATGACAGGATACTGCATCCTTCGGCTTCTAGCAACTCCCATGAATCAACCAGCTATATCACATAACCATTCGTACCTAGCCCAATCAGCCTCGGACTGGAATACCAGGTACGCCTATAACGGGTCCAGTTATCCCAAGGACGGTATACCCTCGCATTCTCACAAATGTTTGGCCTAATCAACCCTCGGGTTGGTATACCAAACACACCAGGTCCAATCAATCATAGGGTCCGGTCATCCTCAAGATGGAATACCCTAGATTGGAATACCACTACTCGTATAACCCATGCTTACAACCATACTTGAAGCCCAAGGATCCAACCTTGCAGCTCCCTCAATCTACTCTGATTCGACACAACCGAGTGTAACTCACCCCAAAACTCGACATCACGTCTACTCCAAACGTACCATGACAGGGAACATTACTCTCGCGATCCCTAGGTCCACGACCTACGACTGGAACATCCTCACACGGTTCTCATCGCCGGTCTAGACTGCTTCCAAGTCTATCAACTCCGCTATCTCTAGCTCCTCTGTCCAAATCTCTAATCTGGAGCTACTCACCTTCTACTCTTCCAAGGAGATCTGAACCATGACTTCGCATCATCAGTCGGTGCCGAAATGTCGGAACCTCACTCTACATCATCCACTTGTGGAGCACGTCGCTATCCCATAACACGTATACATACTCAGAAACTGACTGCATAATCTACAATCCATAAAGAGTCTTCCACATGCCCCTCAACATTTTCGACACTTGGGAACAACCCCACTGATTGTTATAGCATAACAGTATCCTCACTGCTCGCTCAAAGATCCACCATACATACAAGGTTCTTACCATAACTGGAACGCCTCATCGCACCACTTCCCGTAACCGTCATCTAAACTGCGTCAGGCGACATCCTTCCAAACCACGCCCCATCCGAGAATTTCCAATTCTCCCCCACTTAGAGCACTAACTACTGTCTACCGGCGGCGAAGCTGGTACGTGACTCAATCGTCCCAATCCAAGACAACGAACTTCAAGGGATCCGAGTTCCCGCTGATGATTCTGAATCTCTGGATCATGACCTTCCCCTCTCTTGAATACATCACCAGATACTACCCCTCTATAATTTCTCAATAATAAATTCTCACTATCATCTACTATGCTCTAATAACTTATGCAGGAAACAAACAACTCATAATAACATGAACAAGATATAGAAGGAAAAGACATACCGGCTGTCACCTCTGGCGCTGTCCCGATCTCCTCGGCCACAAGCTGATAAGCACGCCCTGGAGCCTTCGGAGGCTCTGCTCGACCCTGACCCCCGTCAG